GCACAGTAATCAAAGTGTTAAAATTCATTTCATGCATATCTCATTTGCTTCTTAGCTGATATTTACCACGCAATTCTGTGAGAAAGTAGAGGCCTAAGATGCTCCAGATAAATGGCTCAATTAATTGTACAGAGGTAGACCTCTTTGAGCTGAGCCAGAGCTGTGAGCTCTTTATTAAAAGCACCATTCTGTAGCCCATAACCTTGTTCCTTGACTCCTCTCTGGTTTCCAATTTAAACAAGTCCCCATGCGGCCTGCTCTAAAGGGCTTTGTCTCCCTGTCATTGTTAAGAGAGCTGAGGCATCCTGGAAGTGTGAAATCAGACCTCATGAGTTGAACGGTTCCCCAGGGAACGCCGGACTGCGCAGAAGGTCAAAGTCATGGGCCGGACCATCTAAAAGTGTCTGATCGCCGGTCTGTGACACAGCAAGTTGGGGGTGGGGGCCTGGGGGCGGGAGCTAGACTGAAGAGGACTGAAATTGAACACATCTTAATTAAAGCCCGCAGACAGCAAAACAAAATGTTTTCTAGGCAGCCTGTCAAATGGGGCTTAAATTTAGCTCTGCTAATGAATCTGAGCTGCTAACTGTTATTTCTTAAGATAATAAGACTCTCACGGACGCTGATAAAAAAACTGTAGCATGTCTTTTTCTGCTGTTTTGTTACTTAAATATTTTCCAACAATGAAGACAGTTTTCCAAAAGAAAAACATGGGAAAAGTCTATGCAAATAAAGGGGTAGTAAACATCGCTCTTAATAACTAGTAGGTTTCCAGACTACGGGGCTGGCGACTCACAAGTCTTACGCGTAGCCTTGTTTTAGAAAAAGATACGCTCATTTAATGGGACGATTTCAGTGACAGATTCGGTTAATTGTAAAATTCTCTCTCTCCCTTTTCTCTCTTCCTCTCCCCTATTGTTTCCTGAAGGAGACGGTGCATTAATTTGAGAGATCAATTCACCTGGGTTGGAGAAGTTTTCTATTAGTGTACCTTTTAGTACAGTGAAAAGGTAGGGCATCTTTTGAAGGGTTTCACAGTTCTCCCATATCGCTGTTTCAGAAACGGAGTGGCTGGTCTCCCTGGGGAAGCTACGACCTCTTCCTTAGGAGCTCAGAAAAAAAACAGAGAGAAAGAGAGAGAGAGAACCCAGGGGAAAATGAAATGAAGGGGAGGGGCGGAAGAGAAGAACTCTTTTCTCTTTCTCCTCTTAGAACTTGAAAGAACCAATAGGCCGGGTCTAAATACTCTGCAAAGACAGCCTCACTCAATATAGGAGACTTGGAATGTTCTGTTGAAGCAGAAATTAGGCCCTGCTCAAGGAAAAGAATAATCAGAAGCTAAAAAAGACAAATGATAACATGAACTATTTCCTACCACCCAAAGAAAAAATATTCCCCCCACCCCACCCCACCGTTGGCCTTTCCTTACAATGCGTAGAGTTTTAAGGAACGCTTGATTTAGCTGCAGAGAGAATCTTCCCCAGTCAACGCGGGGCCAGAGAGTTTCTAGGTCTTGCTTTGATGGTGCGGAGAGACATTAACCTTTTCACTGGTTAGCTGAAAGGTAAGTAAGTTGTACTGAGAGGTATTTTTCAGTGACTCAAACTTTTTCCCTTACGAAGAATTTAGCTGACCAACTTTTCAAACCAGAGTGCCACTTTCTCAGGCTGTGAAAAGCTGCCCACAATTTGACTGAAATTTCAATCCACACTTGTGCCTTGCTCAATGCATGTGTATGTGTGGGAGTTGTAAATTGAGGCCTTAACCACCAGAGTTAATCTCTTTTTTAAATCTGTATTAACCTTAATGATTTGAAGTGCACTGTCCAACACTGGGCTATTGAGACCGAAGAAAAAACTACCCTCGACTATCAACAGTTTATTAGGGGCTTAACTGAAGTGACCTACTGTAGTAGTGTTCAGCTGAACAAGGCTATAGGCTTTTTGTGGAAAGGGAAAGAATTGAGGGTTTCATTAAAAAGTAATTTGTGCTTTATACTCACTCATTCAAAGAGAGTTTCAATTGCTCTTTATTCACACAGAGTTAATACAGTATCACAATGTTTCTCAATGAATGTGTTGTAACAAAAGAAAAATTCTACATTTTGAGAGGGAAAAATTCTTTGTAACTGTAGTAAGACTGATGGCTACTTAAAAGACTATAGAATCTTTCTTGTGCTCATGTCTAATGATGGAATATTATAACTTAACATTTTTTGCTGAAACAATGGGAGTTTATGTTCAGATCATTAAAAATATCTTTAAAATAGAGCCAAGTTGTTCAAATATAAATTTGTCTCGTTAGACTTATTTAGAAAAAGTGTTCTGAAACCAAGCGCGTATCTTATAGTAACAGGCTCATTTGTACCATGTCAGAAAATATTCTTGCCTTAGCACAGACAGTTACCAGTGATTTAAAATCTCCCCTCTCCATCTACAAAATTCCTAAATGGATGCTAACTTGAGGATTTGAAGACGGCGCTAGTCAATTGCCTCTTTTCAAACTATTGCCTAATAACTTGTAGGGCCTGACTGTTGTTATCTACTGAGATGCACAGCATATCTTTAAAGTTCTTTGAACAAGTAAGAGAGAAAGCAGACAAAGAGCTTACTTGTGTCCCATATTTAATGACAAAGACAAGGAAGCATCAGGATACGTGTGTGTATATGTGTGTGTGTGTGTGTGTGTGTGTGTGTGTGTGTGCTTGTGTATTTGTGTGTGTGTGCTTGTGTATCCGTGTGTGTATATAAAGTATCCTTTTCAAAAGTAAAAATTATTTTGAAAATTGGTAGTATATTCAGACATTTCCAACTCAAATATATAGTCTTCAATTTTTGCCACCATCACAAATGTCATAAAGACCACAGAAGGTCCAAGAGTGAGCAAGGTCAAAGACTGAATTATCTTTTTGCCCCTGAATAGTTCAACATCTCTCTTGTTCAATTCAGAGCACATTAGATTATAAGGTCAGCATGAAATGGGGAATCATTAGATTTATATCTCTAAAACTGGAGGAAAAAATGGAGACTCTGTTATTTAGTATTCCCCAAATTAATGTTCATTTTATTAAATGAAAATTATGTCTCACTGAATCCCCAAGGGAAAGGCTATTGTGTATTCACATCAATTTACATCAGGAAAGAAATATCTCTATTTTTTCCAGGTTTGAGAGAACATGTATTTTAACTTCCGTAGTGGCACACAGGCCAACTGGGTTAATCTAGTTTGCATATTCATGAAGTTTGAAAATCAATGACAGCTTCTCTCCAAGAGAAGACAAACTTAGACAATTCTATCCAATTGTATAATGGGCAGGTATCTAAGCTTTTGAAGTAAATAGTACTTGCATTTTTCTAAAAGAAATGATTGTGCCAGATTAATTTGATTATAATCATACTAGAAATAAATATCATAAATAAATGTATATATTTTACATTCAGTTTTGTACAAGGAGCCAAATTAGCATATATGCAAATATTACGAACTACCCACTCTCCTATTTTCAGGTATGCCTGTTTTGAAAAAATATGTGACAACTGTTATCATCTTCTTGGTTACAAATGAGTTGATAATTACCTTTTTAAAGGAACTGTAAACTAATACTCTTAATTTTCTCACACATGGTCACTTAATAGGCAAACATTAAAGTATAAAAATATCGCAGTTTTTGGAACAAACATCTGCTATTTTCATTTGAAAGCATGTTATCTTTTAATTTGTTTTTGCTTCTGTTGAATGAATTAAAGAAATGTACAGTGATTTCAGATTCTTGGATAAGTCTGTTCCCTCGTTAGGATTATCTGGCTGAAAGTTCACAATGGTAAGCATATTTCTAGAGTAATAATAAGTGGATCTTGTCATTCAGAAACAGTAACATTTGCACAAAATTGGTCAAGCCAGTCCTATTTATTGTCTAACTTGAGATGGCTAATTTAAGGAACAGTATAAACATCCCCCAAATCCTTATGAAATATGATCATAAATGAATGGTCACATTGTTGTAAATTTAAAATAATTATTTAATTCTGAAAATTCATGAACTAATTGCCATCAGCCCATTTGTTAATATATCACAGAAACAGCATTACTCAAATCAGAAAGCTTTAAGAGACAACTAATTTTGACATTTTTACAGCCCTGTTTCCTACTTTAAGAAATTTCAAATAATCTAGAGGCTTAGTTGAGATCCAGAATTATCTCTGGGATGTGCCAGGGAATTTGGACAACTAATGACTTGGATCGGCAACCCAAATTTCAAGAGTTCATACCAAGTTACTGAGTATTACGCACCTAAACTTTTCAGTGAAATATGCAACAGATTTCATGCATGTTTGAAATGTGTTAATGCTATGACAGAATCTGATTCTGTATAGTACTGCTTCAATATCTGGAAATAACAATACCTGGAAGAAATATTCCTACTACACTGATTAAACATTGAAGAAGGTAACAATTCAAAAATCATTGTGCTTTTTAGTGTTTATTTTTAATATATTACCCTGCCTTTAAAAAGCAGAGATACTATAAAAATCAAGGGGTTAGAAAATATTTCTAAGATCAATCCTAAATCTTTTTTTTTTTTTTTTTTTTTGAGAACAAGTCTTGTTTTGTTGCCCAGGCTGGAGGGCAGTGGTATGATCTTGGCTCACTGCAACCTCTACCTCTTGGGTTCCAGCGATTCACCTGCCTCAGCCTCCTGGGTAGCTGGGACCACAGGCACGTGCCACCATGCCCGGCTAATTTTGTATTTTTAGTAGAGACAAGGTTTCACCATGTTGGCCAGGCTGGTCTCAAACCCCTGACCTCAGGTGATCTGCCTGCCTCGGCCTCCCAAAGTGCTGGGATTACAGGTGTGAGCCACTGTGGCTGGCCAACCCTGAATCTTTATATTTATTTACTTTGATGATCCAGTCAGGTGAAATGCAGAGTTGAATTATTTAATGGTGTAGACCTTGTGTGCTGCTTGATATGAGCAATAGGGGAATTGCATTATCTCTTACCAGTGACGTCAGCAGCCATCAACCCTTCCGCTCTGATGACTTTCACCTGGAGAAATCCCACATCTTTCAGGTTGTGAAATATCCTCAATGGGCTCTGAAAGACCCCAACAACAGTATTAGAAAAGAGAGGTCACAAGGAGTCTTAAGGAGTGTGATGAGAAAACATTATATTTTTTAGTCTATCTTCAGACCTTGGGGGTAAGAAGATCAACATTAAACTAATTAAAAATTTTTTCTGTACTATTTTCCTCTTGGTGAGTTTTGAAAATCGCATATGCTAGCTGAGGGTTAAATTACCTAAAAACTGTTTTCTAGTATTTATTTCAAAAGACTTATGCAATTTGACATAAGAACTTAAGTAGTTCTACGTAAGTAAAATACATACATAATCTTTTAAAATAAATCAAATTGATGACTAAAAAGAAATTCAAAATAGTGATTTTTCTTAAATTTATAGTTTCATTTGCTATTTTAATATGTATAAAATGGAAACTTTGATGCTGCATAAGGGGTTCAAAGGGTCATTTGCGTTTCTTCGGTATAAATTACCCTTCCACCATCGTGAATGTATACCACACACACATACCCCGTGTAGAAAATTGTTGCTATATAAGTAGATTTTCTGAAAGAACTGAAAAAAAAAAACACATTTACTCCCATAAATAATTATCAACAAATAATGGTGAATAATACATTCTAGAATAGATATATCTGCGTTTTTTTTTTTTTCAATCTCCTCTAGCAAGCAAAGCACTCCAAGAAATATTTTCATATGTAGATAGAATGGTTTGGAGAATAGCGGAGTTTTTTTTTCTTTTAGAGATGGGGGTCTCAGGTTGGAGTGCAGTAGTGTGATCATAGCTCACTGTAACTTCCAACTCCTGGGTTCAAGCATTCCCTCCATCTCAGCCTCCTGAGTGTCTGGAACTACAGGCATGTGCAAATACACCTGGTTAATTAAACAATTTTTTTTTTAATTCTATAGAAAAAGGTCTCGCTATGTTACCCAGGATAGTCTCCAATTCCTGGCCTCACGTGATCCTCCAACCTTGGCTCCCAAAGTGTTGGGACTACAGGCATGAACCACCACTCTCAGCCCAATTATCAATATTAAATCTCACACTGTTGGTTATGCAACACTCTTCATACTCTGGGGATAAGAAGGTCAACATTAAACTAATTATTTTTTTCTACTATTTTCCTCTTGGTGAGTTTTGAAAATTGCATGGGCTAGATAAAGGTTAAATTACCTAAAGACTATTTTCTAGTATTTATTTCAAAAGACCACTGTAGTTCTACATAAGTAAAAGACATACACAATCTTTTACAGTCAATCAAATTGATGACTAAAAATCAATTCAAAAGTGGAAATTTTTCTTAAATTTATAGTTTTATTTGCTATTTTAGTGTGTACGGAAGTATGGAAACTTGGATAGGAAAACAGATCCAAATGATGAAATCTATATCACTTGGTAAATTAATCATGGTGGTGTTTTATAAGTGTAGCAGTTGAAGGAATTAAAGGAGGGAAACAAATACAATAACTCAGAAGTCTAATTAGTAGGCACAAATACTTTGAGAGTAAAATGAACCAACAGAATGCTGACATGTATTTGTTTATTTACACTTCATAGGATTTTTCTTATGACTCGATCAGCACTTCTACTCAGTAAATCAAAAGCACTTCTGTTTCATAATCTATAAAATGTTTCATAACCAGACAACTTAACATACTTTTGCATAATAAAGGTATCTATTAAAATGTTACTAGAGTAAAAAGCATTCCCATCATCACATTAATAATGTGAGAATACTGACAAGCAAAAGCTCATTGCGATATGAACTTTATCAGTCCCGTATGACCAGTCATTGTTTACGCTGAAGGTAAAGACCTTGGTATATTGAGAGGAGGAAATGTGGATATATAGGTAATCTCATAGCCTAACTTTTTATAAGCGTGTTTAGCATCAGGATTAACTGTTAATCTTTCACTGTTTTTTAACAGTTGCTTATCACCAAAAATCTATTTAAAATACCCAAGTGACAAGATTCAGTAAAAATGGACTTCTCTCTCCAATTAAATTTCTGTAAATGAAGGGTTTAACAGTGGGGGCTTTAGACAGCAGAGTATAATTCAGAGGTTTGTAGGCATGTTGTGTTTTGACAGTAACATCAAGTTTGGAAAATTTCTTATTTCAGCGCTTACACAATGCTGTAAATCAGGTAAGTCTCTGACCCTAATGATGGGGAATAGTTTTATCAAAAAAGTTTCTGTACTTTAATTTTCAGAGGCAATTTAAATCAAGTTTTATTTTGACTAAAACAAATATCATCAGTCCTTATGTCTGAGAATCATTTCACATTGGTAGCCTCATTTCACAGACATATTGTCTTCTGGTGCTTCAGCTCTGATCCTCTGCTTCCCATTTGAATGGGTAATTATTGTTTGAAGGTTTCATTTCCCCAAGTCAGCTGATACTCCATAATTTATTGCAAATTTCAACTGTTTAGGCCAGTGACACATCGATTATAATAAGAAGTAAAATAAATAAATAAATATGTTCATTTAAAAATATAACTTCATCAAGAGTTATTCATCAAGAGGTATTCCTGCCTTGCTATTTATGGTTATTTGAGAAGGCCTAAAAACCTGGATGGCTTCTGAAGCCAGAAATTTCCATAGCAGAGGAATCTATGATTTGCTGTGAATCCTTTCAGCCCTCAATAGATGGGAAAAGATTGAAATGCTCTGGAGAGGAGTCCTCTTTATTTTTTTAATGAAAGGCTGTATAATATATTTTCTCTATGGCTGCAGCAGCTGTCAGGGAGAGCATCTCAGTTCAGCTCTATTACGGGAGAGGCAATACCCCATCCTATGGCATCGAGATGCTCTGAGGGGCCAGAGCTGATTGACAGCTTGTCACCGTGACGTCTTATTCCATCTCTGTTATGGAGAAAATTAATGTCACACCACCAGCCTTATGACTTGCTGTCATCTTAGAACCGCTCACCTTTTATCAATGCTCTAAATAACATTTCAAGCCCATCGTCTCACGGTGGACAATCCGGTCAAGGGACATTAAATCAGATGACGGTGAAATGTCATAATAAAAATGGAATGCTAACAACTTCTTCTCTAAACTAGCTCCTCTGGTTTTTAAACTGTGACAAGGGGGAGCAAGGGTTTAGCATACCCGTTCTGAAAAGGTCATACAATTGCTCTTGGTCTACTACCCATTACTACCCGCCCCCTATTGACCTTCCCTCATTTCCTCCCCCTAAAAGAAGAAAAAAAGAAAAATGGAATTAGCCATCTTTTCAGAATGTGGTGATCAAAAAAATGGCTCACACAGTGATGTTTGTTTAATTTGTGGGGCTTCGATCCTTAGCAATGAACAGCTAAACAGTAGTAATGGAGGGCTTTTTGAGGGCTGCTTCCTATCAGAGTGGGGGCAATTCATTTGCTTTCCTACTGTGATCAGTGTCAAATTCCTAAGTTTGACCTCAACCTTTAAAAATACACATGTTCTTGCAGGAAAATAGAATTCTCCAAAACACCTTCTTTATATGTTTCTCCAAAACGAATAATATTTCAGATATGACATGGCATTCATTCATTCATTTCATGATCCTTATAATAGAAAGGAAACACACTGAAGCCTAATCTATAGGTCTTTGTCCTTGCATGGCTATGAGTAAAATAACACACATGCTATGTTGCATAGAGTGGCTTCTTAGCAGGTATGTATTTAGAGGGAGGTGTAGGTCTCTGCCTAAAATTCTGGGCTGAAAAAAAAAGTATATTTAAACATGGTTCACTTTTTAATATATTGAACAGAATATAGTCTGAGAATTAAGTCAAACATCTACCTAATATTTTACCTTTTATTGAAAAACAGTGTGGAAATATTCAAAATTCTGAATGGAAATGGCCTATTGCCATTCAGCCATCCAGCAAAAAGAAAAAAAAAATTAATAATAGGTGGATTACTTCTAATTACCTAGGCAGCAGTATCCCTTAATATATGGGATCATATCAAAATATTAATCCACAACTATAGTATTATAATGCCTAGAAGAATTTTTATATTAATATACTGATTAATTCCATTAAAATTGTTGTAATTCATGAGGCTCACTTCTGGTAACAGAAGAATATGTTTTGGTGGGTCTCACAATGTAAAATAATCTTCATTATTGCAATTATATATTAGAAGATGTCACACAATATCTTAGGCTCTTAGGTGGTTTAAAAATATATACTATTTAGCCTTGCTAAGTCACCTCTATTAAACTGTTTATGATAACACCATTGGTGGATGGGTTGTACAAGCATTAGCAGACAGCTGATTCAGTGGAGATAGCCAGAATAAATTTGCTGAAGCGCACATCCTGCTAATCTGTTTGAAGAATATTGTAGAGCATTAGTACCAGCACTTCATGTTATCTGCACAGCCTGATAAGGTACATCTTTATTAAATTCAGTTATTGAAAGGATGTCAGTCAGCAAATAGGAATATTTTAAAGTTAAAAAAAAAAAGTGGTTCTTTGTTAGTCAGAGCTTGGTTTCATGGCTGAGTGTCTAGAGGAGCCTTCTAAACACCTGGCGGCACTGTACAATACAAGCTTTGTCATTTTAAGTGGAAAAGCTTTTTTTCCCAGCTTCATGGGTACTGAGGCATTTACTTTTTCAAACCTCCATTGAGAGAGAATGGTGGAGTAAGAGCTCCCCTCTCTGTTGATTCAAGAAAACTACATTGTGGGAAATGTCCTTTGGGAGGACGCTGGGAAATAGTTAAGGTTTGATTGTGAATATTTCAGTTTGGTAAAATTTAAGGAGGGTAGTTATTTTAGTGATTCGCTATTCCATGCTATCGTTCCACATTCAATAAAAAAGGAGGCTCCGTTTAATTTTATTTCACATTCAGTTAAGAAAATTAAAGGAATGAAGTGAGGCTTTTCTGAGCAGCTGAAGATAAAAAATCACTCCTGTGAATACTCTTTAGTTACCAAGGTACTAATTAATGTAAGTACCATTAACTCCATCTCAAACTTGGAAAGACAAAGATATTTTAATTGCAGCTGCAAAGAATCGATAAATTAATTTTAAAGTCATGTTGTATAAATCTGGCCTTCCTTGATGGGTAGCATCCCTGCATGATAAAATCACTGAGTAGAATCTCAGAATCTGGAATTTGCTCTGGAAGAGATTCTAGAGAAGCTCAAGTCTCTAGACATGGATGGGTAATGCAAATGCCTCTGCCAAGGTCTGTGTGGCATTTGTTTTCACTCAGCTTTTTACTTGTGCCAATTCGTCCATCAGACAGCTTCTCAGAAATACTTCTGTCCCTCCAGGTAAATTGTTTACAACCTCATCTAGTCACATGTGACCTTGGAAGGAGGAGGGTTACATACGTACATATCTCTTTAATATCTCCTCTCGTTCCTTCTGGTCCTCCAGGGAGTTGATGGAGAGGTCAGAGATGCTGACTGTGGCTGATGCTGTCAGAGTGACCAGCAGCACCAGGTGTCCCTCACCCTCTTCCAGCTGCAACTCCAACTTGTGCGTCTGTTCCCTACTGAGGGCTGACAGGTCGACCTGGCACCTAGAGACAAATGTTTTGAATCAGCAAGTTACGATTTTTTTTTTCCCATATCAAACAGCTGCTCCAGCTGCTAAGAGCTCTATGAAAAATAAAACAATAGAAATATTGTTTGGACCACTGGATGAATGAATACATCTTTCAAGTCAGCTTTTTTTTTTTTTTTTTTTGAGACGAAGTTTCACTCTTGTTGCCCAGACTGGAGTGCAATGGCATGATCCTGGCTCACTGCAACCTCTGCCTCCTGGGTTCAAGCGATTCTCCTGCCTCAGCCTCCCAAGTAGATGGGATTACAGGCATGTACCACCATGCCCAGCTAATTTTGTATTTTTAGTAGAGATGGGGTTTCTCCATGTCAGTCAGGCTGGTCTTGAACTCTTGACCTCAGGTGATCCTCCTGCCTCGAAAGTGCTGGGATTACAGGGTGAGCCACCATGCCTGGCCTAGTCAGCTAACCTTTTCCACAAAATTCAGACCCTGATTATCATAGGGTCTGTAATTGTTTATTTCCTGTAAGGCAAAGAAAATATGCTGATCTGAAATTCTATTATTACCCACTGTCACAGTATTTATAAAGTGGTGAGGACTTCCCATCTCAAGGTGGCTGGCCTAAGGAATTAGGTTACTGGGGCTTTGCTTACAGAAGAATGCTGTAAGCTGTCTAGAGACCAACTACCAAAATTCTGAATTTTTGTGTTACTTTTAAAAAAATGTATGTTTTCCCCTCATTCATAAATGTTATTAAGCAGTGGATGGAGTATGTACCATTGTGAGGCCATATATTTTATATTTTTAAAATCATGCTGATATATTCATAGTACATTGTATAAATCTAAATGAAAACACATAAATCTCTTGGAAACATAATAGCTTATGTCTTAAGCACCTGAGTTGTGCTAAGAGGGGCTTTCTAATGTGGCAGTCAATGCTCTATATGCCACTCTCTAGGAGCTAATACTTTGAAAATGCTTTTCATAAAAATGTCAATTGATTTTGAAGAGAAAGGTAATGTGGTGACCACAAGGCTAATAAACTGAGAGAAAGGTGGCAGACATGCATAAAAGGCATTTCAAACAGGAAATAGCCAATTATAAGAATAGATGTGGTAACCTACCTCAAACTGGGTGGTCAGGGACAGATTAATTTCTTGTTCTTATTCCTCACTCTATTTGGTGTTTATTGTTTTGCTTTTAAACAAAACTCCTACGGACAGTGTTTCAAAGCTTGTAGTTGAGTTCAAACATCTCTTTAGCAAGAGTGATAGCAGATATTGAACTGAAGTCAAATATTTCAATAGGCCTTTTGTTTTTGCCTACTGGTTAACATGAGGAATGTCTGAGGCTAGACACAAATGGGAGGAAGAAGAATATTGACGTAAGAAAGGAAAACAATATGCTATGTCCTGGTCAGTGGCAGCAAGTCGCGTGTACTAAATGCTTACTATTGAGAAACCGAGAAATTTGAGCCTGTACTAAGTCTGGAAAACATCTTCTGAAGTTAAAAAGTGTGTCAAATAACTGCATGGTTTCTCCTAATGCAATATCCATTTCAAGGTACTCTCATGCTGTCTCCTCAAACTCTGAAGGGTAAAAAATACATATCATATCCCTTATCTAATATTTTAATTTTAATTCAAATTAAGTTCTTATCAATAACACCTGGAACAAATTGAAGTTAAAAATTTTTACGGTAGAAAACAACCATTCAAACATATCCTCTAATAAAAAAAAAAAAGGTATCATCTTTAGAGATCTTTCCAGCACCTAACACGCTGCTGGGCCCATAGTTTGTTGAATGCAAATGGCTTGGATAGGGAGTATAATACTAGAGGAATGACAATATAATTGAGAGAATATTTTTGGTTAGATACAGTTGGAACCAAGAAAGGTTTTCCACTCACTTTGTTTTTTCTTTTTTTTCCACTCACTTTGATCATGCATTTCTTGATCCCTTCCTTTTTTATATGATGCTGCAGCACTCTTAAAACACTAAAATGCACTGATGTCTTCTGAGGGATTTTCTCTTATGCTCACTACCACTTTGTACTGATCATATAGATGGTGGTTTCTCTTGATTTATATTAGTCATTGCTATTAATGCTTCACAGGTGGGGAAGGTGCTCTAAAGATTATATAATTTAGGCTTCGCAAACTGGAAATTTTCAGATGCAATCTGATCCACAGATTTGTTGTTTTTGCTTGTTGTGCTAAAAAAAGTTTTGAATATAAATATTTTCAAATACAGGGTAAATGTCCTCTGAATTAGTTACTGTTCCCACTGGCCTGTTTCACTTAATTACTCTACCTGGTTCCAGTAGGCAGAAGTAATTGTGATTCTTGCAATCTCCTTAATTTACTAACAAGAAAACCGAGGGTCAGGGAGGGCACATGACTGAGTGGAGACATATAGTTAGTTATTAGCAGAGCCCACCTGAACCTGGGACTCTGGAATCCAAGATCTAGGTTTTTCTCCACCACTCTATCTTTAAGTAACCATGCATCCCAGGAAGAAGCACTGTTAGCACTGCTTCTCAAACTGGGTAAAATCTGCACTGTTTTTTAATTTTAATTTTTTAATTTTAATTTTAATACTGTTGACACCAGGTCTTACTCTGCTGCCTAGGCCGGAGTGCTGTGGTGCAATCATGATCACAGCTCACTCACTGCAGCATTGATCTCTTGAGCTCAGGTGATTCTTCCCACCTCAGCCTCCAGGTAGCTGGGTCTGCAGGTGCGTGCCACCAAGCCTGGCTGATATTTTTTGTTTTTTGGTATTTTTTGTAGAGATGGGGTTTTGTCATGTTGCCCAGCCTGCTCTTGAACTCCTGGGCTCAAGCAATCCGCCTGGGCTGGCATTCTAAAGTGTTGAACAAGCCACCACACCCAGCCCTGGACTTTTTGAGACAGAGTCTCACACTGTCGCCCAGGCTGGAGTGCAGTGGCACGAACTCAACTCACTATAACCTCTGTCTCCTGGGTTCAAGAGATTCTCGTGCCTCAGCCTCCCAAGCAGCTGGGATTATAGGCGCCCATCACCATGCCCAGCTAATTTTTTTTTGTTTTTAGTAGAGACAGGGCTTCACCATGTTAGCCAAGCTAGTCTTGAACTCCTGATTTCAAATGATCCACCCACCTTGGCCTCCCAAAATGCTGGGATCACAGGCATAAGCCACCACACCCAGCTGGTTTTTTCCCCCAAACTTTTATTTAAGGTTTTAATGGGCATACATGCAGGTTTGTAATGTAGGTAAACTCTCCTGTCACAGGGGTTTGTTGTACAGATTATTTTGTCACCCAGGTACTAAGCCTAGTACTCAATAGTTACTTTCTCTGCTCTTCCTCCTCTCACCCTCTACTCTCAAGTAGGCCCCAGTGTCTGTTGTTCCCCTCTTTGTGCCTGGACTTATTTTTAACAGAAATAATGATCTCCTTTTCCAAGTATAAGAAAATATGTTACTTTAATGCTTTAAAAATATATATAAACCAGAGAAGGCCACAAGCTATTGCTCTTAGAAGATTAAGAAAAATTTATAAATTGAATTTTGAAACCATGAAACTAATAAATTTAAATTAGCAATATAAATTTATAGGGAAGATTATGCTTTTCTGTAACAACTAAATTTCAGTATTGGGTGTACTCACAGAAACAATGTCAGGTCCTGTGCTATATGTAGTGTTTCAGCATCTTGACTTTAATAATCCCAATGTAGAAAATGTCCATTTTCATAAATGTATTAGACAAGAGAATATTTAATGACTTCAAGGTTCTTTGTGCTACTTAAGGTTATTCAGATCTCTTATTTGCCTAAATATTTTGCTTGAGAGTAAGATGCCATTTTAAATGAAGTGTCACCTATCACTAAGCAAAACTGTCTTGTTATCTTGAGCATAAAGTTCACATTAAAACTTCACTGATGTGTATCAAATCACATTATTGCTGGAATTGGGTGGGAAAAAAGCATTTGCTACCCCCTCATAACTTTTGAACAAATATGTTCAAGGATGGAACTCTTACAACACAGTCTAGTGCAATGTGAATACACTAATTGCTATGGGGTAGATTCTTCTGTATTTGGCTCACCTGTACAGTTACATCCTGAGCAAAGGAAGGTTTCACTTCAGTTTGAATATAAAAGTAATAAGTGGTCATTCAGATAGTTCAGAATAGGCATATAGTAATGGTTTTATATTGTTACCAAGATGAAAATGCAAAATTTGAAAAGCATGAAAACAAATTTATGAACTCCAAAAATACGTTCACAGTTACATACACAGAGAAAAGATCTGGGGTTTGGGAGTCCCTGATTCCCCTGATTCTAGACTGCAGTCTTTCTCTAATTAGTCACGTGACCTCTTTCAAGACAACTTATCCTCTTGAATTTCAGTTTTCTCATCTGCTGTTATGAGTTAATTAAACTAGATGAACTTTAAATTCTCAAAAACCTCAAATTCCACAATTTGTTGTAACTCTCTGTTTACATTTGCTGTATCTTCCTTTCTTTGCAATTCCACAAATCAAAAAGCTAAGAGAACAAAATTATCTTATAGAAATGAAATATGAGTCCTCAGATGTATTGCTAAAAAAACTTCTGAATGTTGGTGTAAGAAGGCATTTCATCTCATCTAATTTCAAACTGTACTGCAAAAAGCAATAGGGTGTGCCCCAGAGGCCAGGGTGTCAGTGTGAGAAAAAGGGGTGTAGACTATCCTCTTTGGTTCAAAGAGCAGCTGCCCTTACATCTGCTTTATATTGAGGGTTCTATATTGTGGTTTGAAAACTTACCTGATACAGCTTATGTATCTCCCTAGGCTCTCCTGGAGCCATGGTCTCCTGAGTCCTCCTCAGCTGTTCGCTTTCCCTCAGCTGCTACTTTTGCTGTGCCTCCTCAAAGCGCTGCTCTTCATCCTACACCCATGACCAATTGACTCTGCTTGGATCCTCATGGGTCTCCGACCTAGGGCTGGCTGATCTTTCATTGTCCCAAATGAGCCAGGCACTCCCCT